AGGATAAAACAGTCTAGTCTATGTCTAACAGCAATTTTAGAAAGAAAAACAACAACAAAAAAGAACAGAAAACAAAAAGTCAACATTTTTTCAAATTTATGAAAAGCAGGAATCCTCAGGGTTAAGAAGCACAATGAATCCCAAGCAGGACRCATAAACAAGGTTCATGTCAAAGCTTCAAAATACCAATGACAAAAAAGATCTTAAATCAGTGAGAAAATACAGATTATCTATAAAAGGAGCAAATGTTAGAGTGACAGCGGACTTCTCAGAGGCAGAACCAAAGCCAGGAAACAGAGGAATAAGACTTCAACACCGTGAGAGAAAATAATGATCAATCTGTAATTTAACATTCAGTTAAAGTGCTGTAGAGAAATTAGGGCAAAGTAAAATATTTTCAGGAAAACACACCAAATTGAGAATTATAACCAAATAGAAATTACTGAGGGGATTTCTACTTTAGTGTGAGGAAAACGAAGCAAAATCAAATACTGTGGTGCAAGAAGAAAAGTGAACAAAGACATTGGTAATCATGTCAGTATGTGTAAATAATTATTGCTCATATGAGCCAGTTATATTGAATAAGGTGGTGAAAAATTAAAATGGGATTCAAATATTGATAACAATATCAATACAAATATTGATAACAATAAAATATTGATAACAATAACACSTGGAAATCATGAAGGGGTTGTCGAAGTTAAAGTGCCTTAGGTCATTTTGGAAAGAGTAGAGAGATAGTCTTCCAAATTTAATTCATGTATGAATGTCATATTCAAATGAAGTCTAAAAGAATAAGAATGGAGTACATAACTACTGAACTAATAAAAAATAAACTTAATTAACGAAAAGAAAGATAGGAACTAAGGGAGGGCAGAAACAAGTATAGAAAAGGCAAGATAGGGGGCTGGGGTTGTAGTTCAGCAGTYAGCGTAGTTCAAGGAGYGCTTGCCTCATATGGATGAGGCACTGGGTTCGATCCTCAGCACCACATAAAAATAAAATAAACAAAATAAAGGTACTGTGTCCATCTACAACTAAAAAATAATTTTAAAAAATAAAGGCTAAAACATGATGTTAAAATTGAGTTAAAATAAATCAGTAATAAAAAATGTAAATGGGCAAATCTCACTAATTAAAAGAAAGAGATCACATTAGTTTAGAACTAAACAAACAAAACCAACTATATGCTAGTAGAAGAGAAGCCCTCAATAAAAAATAAAGGTTGATGACAAAAAGGAAATAAAAGGATAAACTGAGAAAATATTAAGCAGAAGACAGTATAACTATATTAACATCAGGCAAAAAAAAATCAATGGCAAAGAACATTACTAGGAATAAAGAGGGTTGTTAAAAATTTATTTTCATTTTAATTCTAAATTTTTATGAATATAAAAACACATATTGGCTTCTAAATATGGAGAGCAAAAATTGATAGACTTGTTAGAATATTGAAGCTCACAATCATAAATTTATATACATATGATTAAATAATTTTTTTTTGTATCAGGGATTGATATCAGGGGCACTCAACCACTGAGCCACATTCTCAACATTCCCAGCCCTATTTTGTATTTTATTTAGAGACAGGGTCTCACTAAGTTGCTTAGCATCTCACCGTTGCTGAGGCTGGCTGTGAATTTGAGATCCTCCTGCCTCAGTCTCCCAAGCTGCTGGGRTTACGGGCATGTACCACCATGCCTGGCAAAAGTGATATTTTTAATACCTCTCTGATAAAGTAAGATTCTTCATGCCAAGGTCCTTATCTGCAATGTAATCAATAACCAATAACGTTTAATCTTTTTTGGCTACTTACTCACAAATGCATTTTAAACGCAGAGAATTGCTTAACACTCAGCAGTTGCCAGATATTTCCTTGTTAAATGCTTGAATCATTCAAAATGGAAAAATAATAACAATAGACATCAGGTAATGCAATTAACAAGCACAATCAAATCAACTCTCATCAAACCTGCGGTCCTGAATTAGCAAATATGCATCTTCTCAAACATACGCAGGATATTTATGAGAATCGGCGTGTCCTAGTACATATTCTCTGACCACAATCCAATTAAAGTAGAAATAAACAACAAAACAATAAACTCTATGTATTATAAAATGTGAAACATACTTCTAAGTACCTCCAAGGAGAGGAAAAAAAACCACAGCAAAAATTAGAAGACAGATTGGATGGTAATAAAAACATAACATTTCAAAACTTTTAATCATCTAAAGACTATTTAGAAAGAAACCTATAAATTTGTATGCACATATATGCAAAAGGATAAAAAAACAATGAGCTACACATCTAAATTAAGAATTTTTTTTAAAAAWYCMAMMAARKWAAMYACAAAGAAAATACAAGGAAATAAAAAATAAAGATGAAAACAGAAATTATTGAAATAATAAAAATACACAGTGAAGRACCAAAAAGCCAAAGTTATTTCTTTGTAAATAGAGAAAACTCTGGCAAGAATAATCATGGGAAAAAAAAGATAAAACTTAATATTAGGAATGAAATAGGGTCAAATTTCAGATACAATAAGATTTTTAAAAAATAGAATGAGAAATRCTTGATACCAATATATTTAAAAACAAATAAAATGAACAATTTCCTAGGGGAAAAATATAATTAATCACAACTGAATCCTAGCAAAACAGAAAATCTGAATAAATCTTTAATCACAAAACACATTAAAACACTTCTTAAGACATTATCAAAAATAACTTCCAGGCCAGATGATCTTGTTGGTGACTTCCACCAAACATTCACTGAACCATTAATCTTTGTTTTATATAAAACATTCCATAGAACGATAAGGATCTATTCCCACCTCAGTTTATGAAGTTAACAGAACCTGGTATTGAAATTAGGGTATTTCTATGAGCCAACCTCCATAACAAACATGGAATGCAAAAGCCTAAGTGAAATGCTAGCACACTTAAGCCAGGAAGGCATAATAAATAATGATATACCACCAACTAACTGGCTTCCAGCCCAGGGGATCAGGATGGCTTCCTGTCGGGAGGTACATCAGTATATTTCACCATGTGAACAGATTAAAGAAGAAAAATTGATCTTCCAGATACAGGTAGTGATAAAACACAATACCTGTCCATGATTTAGAAATGAAAACAGAAACCTCAGTAACTAGAAACACAATGAATCTTCTTGACCTGATATCAGGTAACTATTTTCAAGGGTTTAACTCTTTAAAAAATTGCCCTTAAAATAAAAGCGGAGACAGGGATGATGGCTGGCATTCACCATTGCGCTGGAGCACCCAGACGGTACAGACCTGATTTAAAGGAATCAAGATTTCCAAGGAAGAAGCCATGGCAAATGTGCCCGTGGGCACACCCATGTCTTCCCAGAGATCTTAAGAAGAAGCTGAAGAATTCCATACCTCTATGGAACCCTAGAATTCCAGAATATCTGGAGTTTTCTCATTGTGGTGACTTTCACTTTTTAAAAAATTCACAAAATGTATTTCATCTAAAAAGATGAGCTACTATTGTCTTATCTACATTGTACCAGAACCTTTTATAATGTGGACTTTCTGGGTGGACTGAGGGTTCAACRTAGTCTGACTTCCTGTTTGATACTTTCCCGTGCCACTCTACATCCAGCAAGAAGGCTGATGATCAGCATCTCCTGACCCTCTGGTCTGGGAGCCATGGGAGCTGCACTGAGCTTGGCCACAGATGACAGAATCATTATTGCTCTAAGAAGCCCTTTTATTTGTTGTTTTCCTTTTTTTTTTTTAACAAGTTACTCTCAAATAATACTGTATTCTAAAGATCCCATTTCAGTATTTGGTAGAGGAGTAGTAGTTAATTTTCTTTTCCTTGACTCTAAATGGCTTACTCTTGTGGTTTTTCTAGGTATTTCTGTATTATGACTCACTCTGAGCAACTGACTGGGAATGCAGGAGAAGTCTTCTTCTTTCGCTGTTTTGATTAACTGTGTGATTGACCCTGGGCCAGTCATTGAACCTAATCAAGTAACTTCATTCATTGCTAAATAAAGATAAAACACAGCTTGGAAACATGGGTTAAAATTAGACCTTGCTACCTAATGACTCACTCTCTTAATAACTTATTCACATGAATTAGATCTTTCCTGTAACATTTCCACTTGGGAAAAACCTCCTTTATAATGTTTGCCTAGCTGTCGACCATTTGGCATATTCTGTGTTACCTCTCCATTTGTTTCTTTAGCTTTACCCATCGGTTTCCGTGAGCATCCAYGGCAGTCCATGATGATCAGCCCAACTCAAGTGTTGATATTGTATGTGGGGGGAAAAAATACTAGTACAAGAAATATGAGTGGAAGAGAATGTAAACTTAGATGAAATCCTGATTCAAGTTCCAGTTCCCCCATGTATTCGTTTTGTGATCTTAGCAAAGTCGGTGAACTTCTCTGAACCTGCACTTTCTAATTTACCAAATGGCAACCATACTCCTCCATTTTTTTTAACCTCATGGGCAACTGTTACAAAAACCAGCCAATGAATGTGGACAGTGCTTTAAAAAACTGTAGTGTATTAGATATTTGGATGTTTTACTCACCTTCACTGAATAACTCCCTTCACTGAATTTAGTCACAATACATAGGTCTTAAGAAGACCTTAAGGGCCATCCATCCGTGTTAGACAGAGATGACTTAAAATTATGCTAATAATTGAGCAATCTRTAACTTTGCACACAATAAGTCAGGATCAGGAAGGCTTTTAAGGTGATAAAATATAGCTTTAAGATTTTGGTGCCTGTTCGAAAACCAGGAGATAAACTAATGAATACCTGAAGATCTTTCCTATTCCACTTTTCAGTGTTTTGAAACCATAACCCATGGTGGGAGTTAAAACACACAGAATAAATGAAGGGAAAGCTGAAGAGCGGCAAAGTCCAAGATGTGAACAAAGGAACCACTGRTCCCTGGGTCATGCAGAAATCCAAGGGAAAAAACTCTGAAGACAGAGGGCGCTGCATCTTCTTACCTTTGCTCTGTGTTAAAGAGGGCAAAGATGTGCTTGCTGGACATGAAGCTCTTTTCCACATCCCGAACTTTCAGGTTGTCCAAGGGAAGCATGTACTTCTTTTCTTTTTCCTATTTTAACAGAAAAAGAGGGGGGGGGGGACTTCAATAAAAGATCTCGAAGCATGACAGTGGCATCACGCATCCAGAGTTGATGACACTATCTCGATACCATCAAACACTGTTTTGATGCCAGCTACAAAGGAATAAAGGTTATCTGACATGGAGGACTCATGTGCGATTCTCAGCACATGGGCTGGAAAAGTGGGAGTGGGGGAGGGAAGGTATACAGGAAGGACTCCAAGATGGAGAAAACACATGGTCCTCCATCCTTCCCCCTCTCGTGGGTCCCCTTAGATGTTTTTAAATGTTAGTTTGATATTAAGAATTTAGCCATCTGTTAATATTTAGCAAAAATGTTCTGGTCCTAATTCAATGAGAAATGCCAGATGGATTTCATTTCGTGTTTTATTTGCAGCCTAAGCAGTTTTGATAGCCAGTGTTGGCAGGGGAGTGAAGCACAGGGACCCCGGTATGAAACACCCCTGATCAACCATGATCAAGTACAGAAAATACCTCCCCTAGTTGGGTCTAGAATAAAAGTTAAGTCCAGAACAAGAATCGCTCCGTAATTTCAGAGAATCATTGAGCTCTTTGGGCGGGAGAAAAGAGCCCATTAGAAGTAGGCTGATATTAACTAGAACACGTTCTCTTTTAAAATGAACAATCCTCAGGAAGAATATGGACATTGGAGAAGCAGGGTCTACCAATGGGACCAAACTGACATTAGAAAAACATGTTGAATGCCAAAGAATTACTGGAAATATTTCCTTTTAGGGATGGCCCAGGGGCAATATCATATGTGCAAATGCCTAACAACCAGTATAATAGGAGAGAGCCAAAACCCGGCTTAAGAAATCTAGTAGATACCTCTCACCACAAGCATGTGAGCGGAACCCTTGTTAAACAGTAGGCCTCTGTGTGAGAAGAAGCCAGAGTGGACTCCAGAGGGCTAAGCATGGAGACTCAGCTATAACTTTTAATGAACAACTATTAACACCTATGGGAAGTATGCCCACCATACAGGTATGTTTGACACGAGCCAGGCTGCCCCTACGGCAGCACGCGGACCACTTCCCTGGAAGTCTGTGGCCAGGCTCAGCGGCACCTAGCCAACTCCCCCGTCCCAGTACCAGGTGGTGGGTGCCACATGTGTTTCAGGGCATCATGGCCTTGCCATTACTTACTCTTAAACCCGTCTGGGACAAGTCAGGCCAGTGCACTAGATGAGCAAAAAGGGGGTGCTCTGCTCGACCACAAAAATGAGGCCGCGTGAGGCAGATGACTTCCTTCTCATTGGAGGAAGCTGGCTGGGGAACGAAATGGCTGAGCTGGCAGACAAGGTCTTCAAAGAAAAGAAAAAGCAGAAAAGAAACCAAGTGGCAGCAGAGAGAGCCAAGGAGAAACAGAGAAAGCAAGCACTGCGAGTGGATCCCAAGGTTTCCTCCACAGCAGTGGTTTATTCACAGAGGCAAGGTATTCTAAGTGGTAAGATTCAGAATTTAAGCACTGAAGTATCACAGCTGAGTCCAACCTACTTAGAACACTCGTCCAACTACTTTAAAACAGAATTCTGAATTTAAAAAAGGCAGGATTCTAGATTGAATGAAAACCTATCCAATACATAATCAAATGAAAATGTTTGCGACCCAGGGAACATTTTTTTTTAATTGGATGTTTTTCAATGCCCTAAATTTAAGCAGCTGGACTTTTTAAAAGCACCATCCTCTTCAACCTTTTGAAATGATGGATTTGCCTTTTAATGGGAAATCTGCATTTCATTGTAAAGATGGAACACAATGTCCTTGGCTTGGTTTCTGCAGAAGTAGGCTTGCTTTGGTACTGCATTTTTTAGTGTATAGGGAAGACCAAAAATCCAGCAAGCTTACATCAGATATGAAACAGGGGAGGAAAAGCCTACATCTGTGGATGGGGGACACAAAAAAAATGCAGTCGTCATTTCCCAAGTCCTAAATGTCATCTGTCCAAGGTTTTTGAGGACACATCGCTAAATTATTTCATAATCCCCAGACTGACCAAGGAAGAAAAAAAAAATACTCAGACCGATTTGTTCAATTAAAAGTTGTAAATCAAATAGAGAATTAAACCAAGCAGCAGCAACTCCAAGCAAGGAAACAGTATATCATGGATATTTCTAAAAAATCTTGGTGGTTCTGGGAAAGAATGATGTTCTGCTGAAAAAAGGAAAAAATATCTTGCATTTGAAATAGCTAAAATGAAAGGCATAGAAAAGGAGGAAGGATATACGGAATTATAATTTCCAAACTACAATGAGTTTTAGCACCAGCTTAATTAAGAAATTTGTTAAATAACCTTTGTTAATTCTACAAAACTGTCTAATAAAGTGATATCCAGTTGTTGCCAGCCACAGGCAGTGACTGAGCACCTGAAATACAGTAAATATGGATATGTGGAAGGTAAAATAAACACCAAATATTTAGTATTAAACATGAATATAAATTCTTACTGATACTTTTTATACTGATCACATGTTGAAGGGATATTATTTGGAATGCATTGGGTTTAAGTAGTATTAAACATAATTTCGCCTGTTCACTTTTACCCATTTGAAGGTGGCCACTGGACAATTTCCAACGATACRCATGGCTCACGTTAAATTTCTTTGCATGGCACTCTCTTTTCTTCTTCCCATCCACCCAAACAACTTTCCCTCTGACAGTCCCACTTCTGCTCTGGAGTGGATCCATCCTTCATTCTCTGGTCAGCATGCCAGAATCTCATACCGTCTCTGGCCTCCTTCATCACATCTAGATCACGTCCCGTTGTCTGAAGCATGTCCTGGCTCTCTGCTTGACTCTCCCACCACATTACTGCAGGTCCTGGCACCTCCCAAGCACGTTGTCATCGGTGGTCTCCCATCTACTCTTTTTGCCTTCTCAGTTCTCTAATATCACCAGGGAAGGCAATATTTTAAAGGTATTCTGTCAAGTTCACTATAGTCCTTCAAAACTTTCAGTAGCTTTCCTTTAATTACAAAAGAAAATCCACTAAACTCCATAATGTGACATTTACAAACCCCSGTGGACTGGCCCAGCCCTGATTTATCAATATCTCCCTTTTTCCTCCATAAGGACTCTCCATTTGGACCAAATCCTTCTCTGCCCACACTCTTTACCCAGCCTGAGTTGCCCTCCAATTCTTCCCTACCATAACTATGCTGTTATAGCCCAAATAAGTTCTATTTCCCATACAAAAATGTTTCCAAGCTTATAACTGTTACCGCCCCATCTCTCTCCTTTCAGTTTATACAATAGGTGTTATTTATTCTATTCATTTTGAAAGGGTACGTCTAGATATCCTCATTTTATAATCTCATTACATTGAAAAATTGGTGTGAAGGTTGTTCATTTGGAACTCAGTCAATTCTATTGATCAAGTAGGTTACCTATGCAAAGAAAAACAAAAAAAGCAGAGAGCAGTTTTTTACAATAAACAAGATATAAGATTTGATATTTTAAATGTCCATCTTGGAGGAAGCATGGGTAAAATTCTAGGGTAAGATTTTTTTTTTAATGGTGATTCAAAAAGTTCCGCTTATTTTGAAAAGCTCCAGAGACTGATGAAATAGTCGGACCCCATTGTATTTTTCGTTTTTAAGCACAGTAGCTCTTATTTTCTCTGTAAAAGGGGATCACTACCAGTGTTTGTACAGGAAGCAAACAGGATGACAGACATTCTTTGACAATCTTCATTCCGCCTGCCTCTTCAGAGAAGGCTGAAATCTCCTTAAGGTTAAGGATTATGTCCTAATTCTTCTATGTTTACAACTAAATAGTCACCACACTGATGCATGTACAGCTATTGCATATCAAACATCTCACAAATAGAATTCCAACATGGCATTATTATTATTATTCCATTATGTTACAAATTATCTAACCAGGTGTGACTTAAAAATTATTTTTAATGCTTCAAAGATTGATTTTAAATTAATGTTATACCATTTTCTTAGTATCATGTAATTTGTTTAATGTTTTACTAACCTAGACCAATATAACCTCATGCCTTAAACATATAAATCGGCTATGAAAATCCCATATACTTTAAACAATATAAAAACAAAACCATGCAGAGATTCTGCTCTTCAGCAGATGAATGTGCTAAAAAAAAAGTTTTAAAAATGGTAGAGCTTAAAGAAGATTAAGTTAGAAGAGCAAAGCTATCTAAAAAAGCCAGTAATGTCATCAAATATATTTTTAAAATATAGGTTATATGTGCTAAACTTATTTTTAAAATGTGTGCTATTTGTTATTTTTTTCCCCACTGGCTTGCTCAAATATTCTAAAACATGAGAACAATATTTCTTGGGCTTATAGATAATAAGATTGGAAACAGGTCCCATGACAGACTCATGGTGGATCACCTACGCTGCTGAGAACAGCTGTGCTCCATGGGAAAGAAGAGTCCCAGGTTGGCCACTCCTCATCCATGACGTCACAATGTCCCACGTGCATTCTCTGTTAGTGTGTTCGCTGTATTGTATACTTCTAATTTGTTGAATGCCTTTTCTCCTACTGAGAAACTGATATGTATTTGTCTTCTCTCTGCTGGCAGTGAACGGCACATTCCTGAGACAGGCACACGGACGGTGTGTGTCAGCCACATGCTCAGTAGCACGGTGCCAGCCACAGGAGGAGAGGCTGGTCCAAAGACAGGGCAGCATCTTTTCTCTGAGTTGAAAAGATGGCTTATCCAGGGGCTAGGAATGTTTCTGCAGAATTCTGAAAACGCATGAGATACCAATGGGTGTTATATTTTTCTTGCTTGTTGCTCAAGAGATAATGTTGATCCATATTTTTTCATAGAAACAAAGTTTTCTTTTTGCCTTGATGCACTTGGGCCAGAATGTCTGCAGGCAGAGAAACTGGAAACACTACCCTGGGTTTCTGGGTGGGGACGAGGACTGCCATGGGTTAACCCAAGCCTCTCGTCCTCTGGGGAACTGGCACAAGAGTTACGTTCAGCATACC